TAGTAAAATTTAAAATAAAACCCCCAAATTTCAAAGTTCTGTCAACACCAAGTTTAAAAACAAGATGTTCCCTTTTAATGTCACAAAACTAACTAAAAATATTAAATAAACTGTAATTAGAAGTTGAAAGTATATTTTATAGGATACCAGTATATTACTTCGATCATTTGGAAAGCACTTTATGCAATCAAAAGTCATCCAGAAGTATTCTACTCTTCATTTTTTTTTTTTTTTATTAATTAATATTTGATAATAGGGGATTCGAACATTTGTGTTGCACTCCTGAAAGAAGTCTTTTAAGAAGAATTGTGAAGCATAAATTACACAAGAGTGTGTTTTGTTGTTTCAGTGAAGTAATCGAATTACTTGAATTTTATAATAATTTTCCAGTGTTTTTTATTCAAATTAATTCATCTAAAGAAGAGAAAGATTGCAATGATTAAAACAGTCTATAAAGATATAATTTAATACAAAATTATTCAAATAGATTCTTATTGATCAAAGCATACGTAGAAGCAAGAAAAGGCTAATTTTACTATTGAATCTATCTTCAAAAATTGTTCCATCCCTGACCATAAAATATGAATCTAAAACACAAACAGAAACTTTTATTGACAGAATTATTTGGTAAGATATGTACATTAAAAATTAAAACAATGATTTGTTAAGCTGTATAGTTAACTTAACAAATACTTGTTAAAATGTTTTCTGAATTGGTTTGGTTCTCTAACTTGTTTTTCTTTCTTCTTTTTTTTTTATAATTCGTAGTAAGAAGCAAATATGAAGTTGTTAGGACTTGTATACAGCTACTCTTATGTTTCCTGATCTTTACCTAGTTTCTCCTATGAGTTGTTTAGAATACATCTTTAATTTGAATATCATGTTTTCAACAGACACTTGTTAGAAATTGTAATTAATTTACAATTTTTATCTTGGTTTTCTAGACCAATAAATTAAGAGGATATCGTGAACTAATTTCTTATTTCTTAACAAATAGTTTTTAAAGATTCTTTTCCCCTAATGTTAATGATACCCATAACAAATGGTTATTTTAGATATGAATATGTTTTTTTTTTTATTTGTATTTTTCTTTTTTTTATGTTTTAGCCATATTTCAAAGACTGTTTTGCTTTTAAATTAAATTAGAAACAGTTAATCGATATTCCTAATAGCGATTTTCTTGACAAGCAATTGTCAAGACTTGTTTCTAATTTTATCTAAATTGTCTTCCCTTGGCTCTCTAGCAATCAATTGTTAAGAATAATTCCCTTTTATTCTATTCTTAGCAATCAGTTTTTTTTTTTTTCAGACTTATTGTCTTTGCAAATAACTGATTAAACATATTAACTTAATTGTGAAATTCTTAACAAACAGTAGTTAAGACATTTGTCTTTCCGTTTTCTGAATTGACTTTCCTTTGTATTCTAACAACTATTTGTTAAGACTTCTTCATGAAGCTATCTTTTACAAGCAGTTGTTAGGGTTAAGACTTTTCATGAAGCTATCTTAGATTCTAAACAAGCAGTTGTTAGGGTTTAGACTTATTCAGGAATCAGGAATGTTTTTTTTTTTTAAAGTTAAGACATTTACCTAATGTTTCCTGAGTTGCCTAACCTTATTCCTCTAACAACTAGTTGTTAAGAATATTTCTTTAAACTTGTATGTGCTATTCTTAATAATTTTCATTCATTGTCCTTGTCTCTAACAAATTTTAAAAGGATTCCAGGGACCTACTTCTAGCATCCTTAATAAGCAGTTGTTAAGAATTTATTCTGTTTGTCTTCCTTTGCATTTCTAACAACCAGTTGTTAAGAATATACCTTGTGAAATTCTTTTGGTATTCTTAACAAGCAGTTGTTAAGACATTATTCCGTTTGACTTCCTTTCCATTTCTAACAACTAGTTGTTAAGAATATATCTTGTGAAATTCTTTTGGTATTCTTAACAAGCAGTTGTTAAGACTTTATTCCGTTTGACTTCCTTTGCATTCCTAACAACCAGTTGTTAAGAATATATCTTGTGAAATTCTTTTGGTATTCTTAACAAGCAGTTGTTAAGACTTTATTCCGTTTGACTTCCTTTGCATTTCTAACAACTATTTGTTAAGAATATATCTTGTGAAATTCTTTTGGTATTCTTAACAAGCAGTTGTTAAGACTTTATTCCATTTGACTTCCTTTGCATTTCTAACAACCAGTTGTTAAGAATATATCTTGTGAAATTCTTTTGGTATTCTTAACAAGCAGTTGTTAAGACTTTATTCCGTTTGACTTCCTTCGCATTTCTAACAACCAGTTGTTAAGAATATATCTTGTGAAATTCTTTTGGTATTCTTAACAAGCAGTTGTTAAGACTTTATTCCGTTTGACTTCCTTTGCATTCCTAACAACCAGTTGTTAAGAATATATCTTGTGAAATTCTTTTGGTATTCTTAACAAGCAGTTGTTAAGACTTCATTCTGTTTGTCTTCCTTTGCATTTCTAACAACCAGTTGTTAAGAATATTTTGTGAAATTCTTTTGGTATCCTTAACAAACAGTTGTTAAAATTCTGTATAGAAGTGCAACAGTTTCACTTTATTTTATTTAACAAGCAAAATTAAGAATTCCTTTAGCTCATTTTTCGTGTTCTTAACAAACAGTTGTTAAGACATGCCAGATATATAATGGTTTCTTTAACAAGCATTTGGTAAGAATTGGAAAATAAAGTGTTTAAAGTATGCATAGATTTCAGTTGTCATTTATGTACTTAACAACTATACAGAGCTTTTGATCAAATGGAATTGATCAAGTTAAAATGGAAGGTGTTCTTTTTATTATCAAACATCGGACGTGTTTCTTGTGTTTTTAACATCGTATATGGGTTCTCATGAATACAAAAATTCCCAGACACCAATATGTTCACTATAATCGATCACAAGTAGCCTTTCACAGAATATTCCCTTCAAAACAGAATCATTTGCCAGATGAATTTGAAGCGTAACCGCTTTTCAAGCCGATTTACACCTAGCGTAATTCGTCAAAATCTACAACGTACAGTTAGTTTTTATATTTGATTACATTCAATTGTCCGTCTCAAATGTATATATAAGTAATAAATAACAAGTTTAAAAACTTCAATGGGAATTGAAGTGGGTCGGTACGTGATCAAATCTTCTGAGAAGCCCTTCGGCCTTCACAGGATTTGATCACGTGACCGACCCACTTCAATCCCATTGAAATTTTTTAAACTTGTTATTTATTTCTTAAATAAATGGGGGTGGTGGGGTGGGGTGGGAGTGAAATCAATTCAAATTCCCCAAAACATAATTAAATAACTTCGCGCGTTCCATTTTATTTCAACAATACTTTTTATGGAGTGAAACTGTATCACCTTGTAATGAATCAAGATGCAAGTATTGGACTTCATAAATGTATTTCTACTATATGCACAAATCATACTTTACCCCTCCCTCCCCCCCCCCCCCCGAAAAAAATTCAAATGTTCATTGTATTTTGAATACAGGTCATGACTCGATGTTGTACGAGTGTACCTATAGTGAGATGCAGGCATATATTGGCATACTGATCATCATGGGAATAAACAAGCTTCCCGATTACAAGCTTCATTGGAGTCGAAATAATTTTTTTGGAAACGTTGGCTTACAGGAAGTAATGCCACTTAAATGGTATGAAAAGATAACCCAATATTTACACTGCAGCTCTGATGATACGGAGGACGCCCTTTACAAGATCCGCCCAATTGTAGACATTGTCTCACTCAAATTTGTCTGAAAGCTACCAACCTCGTAAACACCAAACCATAGACGAAGGCATGATTGCTTACAAAGGAAGGCATAAGGTTAAAACAATTTTCTGTGTTTACAATTTTTACAGTTATTTCCCCTCTTCCCCACCCCACCCTTTCACTCTCTCTCTTTCTCTGAATTTTTGTTGATCAGAATCACAGCGTATGCATAATACTATTACCTAGACCCTTAATACGCAGAAAAATGAAGAAGAGGTGGGGGTGGGGGGTTGCAATTATTCTTCTTTTTTTCTGAGAGGACTCTTTTTTCTTGTGAGTGTGGACATTTTTATACTTAAATTCCTACCCCCTCCCCAATGTTTTGTTGTACACATGTAGTATGCTGGAACCATCTTCAGTTAGAGAAATGAAAATATTTTTATGGCAATAAAAGGAGTTTAACCCCTCTCCCCCACCATGACAACCACCACGATTTAAGAATGTGGGTTTTGGTGAAATAAGCGTTCCACCCACCCCCACCCCCACACCTTTTATTTTATTGGTTTATCAGATTTTTTTTAAAATACGTTTTTACTTTGTCGCTGGATTATTTTATACACCCCCTCTTTTAAAAATGTTGTTACGGCGGGTCTGATAAAAATATCTTATAATGAAATTGTACGCTTTGCTCTATCTTTAATTATAGGCTAAACAGTATATACCCTCTAAACCGACTAAATGGGGATTAAAAGTTTGGCTCAAGTGCGACAGTCTCTCTGGATTTTGCCATCAGCTTGACTTGTATCTTGGAAGAGGCCAATATAGGGGTGTTCCTGTTGGCCAGACAGTCGTCTTTAAACTTACAGAAGACCTACAGGGCAATAGCCATCAAGTTTTTTTTCTTCGACACCTTTTTTACTTCAGTCGAACTTGCGAAGGGTTTACTCGCCAAAAAGATCTTTCGTTGTGGAACGATTATGAGAAATAGAAAGGGCTTTCCCAGCGACCTGAAGTCAGTAACGCCAAGGTTCCAGGGAGATTATGTAATAAGGTAAATACCTGAAAATATTGAAATGCAGTTTTGGAGCTGACAATTGTAGACTTTTTAAAAGTAACACTACCCTTGTGAAATATATGACTATCATAAATTTCTTTTTCGTTACAGACAAGACGGCCAATTAACAGCAACTGTGTGGATGGACAACCGACCCGTGTCGGTTTTGTCGACAATGACATCGCCACTGGAGATGGCTACTAACGTTTCCGGGCGCCTGAAAGATGGTTCAGCTGTGTCCGTGCCCCAACCCCAAAGTATCGGGGATTACCAGTCATATTTTAGGGGAGTTGATTTATTTGACCAGTTGCGTTCTAAATATCCAGTCGGCAGGGCGAGCAAAAAGTGGTGGAAATATGTACTTCACTTCCTCATCAACACTGCCATCATTAACGCCTTTATTCTTATGAAAGAAAGTCGACCTCAGCTTCCCAAAAAGAGTTACAGACAACTGGACTTTAGAATCTCGTTGGCTCAGCAACTGATCGGGTCTTTCACAACACCATTAAGGGCAGCAGGAAGACACGCCTTACACACGCCGACATGTCACAGTTTCTCAAAACTAGTGAAGAAGAAGTGATATTGCAAACAATGTTCGAAGTCGACGCCGAGAAAGAGGAAGGACACTGTATATGGTTGCAGTCTTTGTGATATTCATTTATGCGGAAAACAATGTTTCTCATTATTTCATGGATTCTTAGCGACTGAGGAATAAATCAGTGTTTTGAAAAATAGTTATTGGGTGATAGGATGGGAGGGGGTGGGGTCTGTAATACTATCTTTACTTGAAAAAGACGTTAATGGTAATCTAACAACAAAGCTTTATGATAAACGTGATGACTTTAACTTTTCAATCATTAACTTCCCTTACTTATGCAGCAATATACCTTCATCACCTGCATACAGGGTATATATCTCTCAGTTGATTCGATACGCAAGATCATGCTCTACGTATATAGAATTTCTAAAACGAGGTAAATTATTGACAAACTAGTTGATTAAACAATAATATCAGCTGTCTCGTTTAAAGTCATCATTTCGTAAGTTCCATGGTCGATACAATGACCTTGTCAGTAAATACAATTTATCATTGAGTCAAATGCTGACTGACGTTTTTCATACTAATTTGTTAGGCCATTATTTACACACTGAAATGTCGACAGATTTTTCCGTTATTTCCCGATCATGACAAGGAGCACAAGGCGGGTGTGACCGGTCGGCAGGGGATGCTCACTCCTCTATGGCACCTGATCCCACCTCTGATGTTTGGAGGTCCGTGTTTGCTCTGCTCCTATTTTGTATTGTTTAATGGACTTTTGAGCTTGAATACTCTTCGTTATCTCCATATATCTCATCTGGGTACATATTGTCGCCGGCGATAATATGCACCGATGGACGGCAATATATGCAGTGAGAGCAGGTACATATTGTCGCCGACGACAATATGAACACAACGACAATATGTACCATCACAAAACCTCTATCAGAAAAGTTTTAGCTTTTGACTCAGGTTAACAAATGACAACAAGGAGTTGATCCTTACGTTGCGGGTTCGAATCCCATTGTGGGACATGGAGACCGGTCCTTCGGATGAGACCGTATAAACAGAGGTCCTGTGTCGCAGTAGGTGTTGGCACGAAAAAGATCCGTCACTGCTCAATGGCCGTAAGTGCCGAGTATAGGACAAAATTTGCAGCTCTCCACCGGCAAGTGGAGGCGTCTCCATATGAGTGAAAAATTCTCTAGAGGGACGTTAAACAACATACAAACAAACAAAAAAACAAACAAATGACAGCAACAACAAGTACTCCTTAATCTTTATTCTTTTTTTACAATGGAAAATGAATATCATCATGGGTGTACGCCTGAAGTGTCCACCTCTTATAATCTTATACACAATTCCCTCACTGTGTCAAATGTACAGAGAGGGATCGGACCAGACGATTCAGCCTCACAAAGTGCCCTGTCATCTAGAATTCGTGCACATCTCAGACAATTCGCTTGTTCAGCGGTATCTCGTGTTTCGCAAAGAAATCCGATAGCGTTGATGGCCACTGAAAGTATTTGAAAGTATTTCAATTGACAATAAAATTCAGAAAACTTTTAAAATGCTCTTTAAAATGTTATATGAAGTAACGAAAACGGGTAAAGAACAAGGTACACGTCTCTCTTGCGTCCTATAAAGTTCTACATGTATAAAAATGATGTAAGATTGTCTGGTAAATAAAAATCAATCCATTCAAAGATATTTTTAAGAATTTCATTTGCAATTAAGTTTACATTTTGTCATTTGGGCCATGTCAGAGATGGGGGTGAGGATGCCAGGATTTTGCATGCGTAATGCATATCGACTGCCTGCAATAGACATAAAACAACTACTCATTATTCAAAAATTTTCTGGGAGCGCTCGAGTTACTTTTTTCTTATTGCTCTCTCTCTCTCTCTCTCTCTCTCTCTCTCTTTTAATCTCAATATTTCATTAAATACACCGTTACCTATATACCTATGTACATCCTGTACATTGTTTTTTTTTTTTTTTTTAAATAAAGGAGTATTCTACTTAAGTATAGTAGTGTGGTCCCTTTTTACACCCTTGGTTTACCGGTTAAATATTAGCATACGGTACTTTGTTTGTTTTCATTGTTTATAACGAAGTATTTCTAACTAAAACATTGTGTATTTATAATGAATAATTAAACATATAAAAAAAAAACAAGCCTATTTTTAACACCTATCGCACTAAAAAATGCCGGAAAATTTTCCCCCGGTCAGACTACGGTTTTCTTTCACATGGAAATGTGCGGAGACATTTAGATTATATACTATAAAAAGATCTTGGTATGATACGTATTTTTCTTTCAAAGAAGAATTATATGTTCAAGACTCACAATGAACTACAAATACATTTTTCTATTTTATACAAAACTTTGGCAATAAAAACTATAACAAGATGAACCAAACACGTTCATGTTGATCGATATAAAACTGAGTACGTTTCAAATAAGAACTAGCACGTTTACTGGAGGCATTTACCCGTAACGATACAAATCCACGTGGCTTGTTATGATTCTAAACAGGTCATAAAGAGGTTAATCGCATGTAAATGAAGTCAGCGAAGAGATTCAAAATCACAATACTTTTAATTAGAAAACATAGAGCACAAGGTTGTTCAACAAAGATATTTTCACTCGACCTTTACACATATAATATACACATTATATTTCAAACTCGACTCTGAACAAACCTGTGCTCGGTGTTTACGAAAGCTTTGAAATATGTAGCTGTCACTGATTTCTTTTGATATTCATGAAAATCAAAGGACCCTACCTTCAACGCGCAGATTCGAATGCTGCCTATATCTTTTGTTTGACAGTTTTAGATGATGATTCAAATGATAAAGTCATTAGTTAATAATAAAATTTAATTTTTAAAAAATTTAATAAATGTTCGAAATTTGAAGAGTAACCAGGGACCACAGATAAGCCTTATTGAGACTTGTTCTTTCTATAATTAATTTCTTTTTTAATTTTAACTATAAAGTTTAAAGGATGACTGCACTTAACGCCTGTTTTTGGGTCTTTTTAGATTGCTTCTGTTGCTTTTATATCGAAACCTTATTTCACTATGTATGTTTATGAAAGAATCCTGTCAATTTGGAACCAAATTTAAATCTTAAAATGATTTTAGACTGTGATTCAATAAAATGATTCAATGTTTTTTGTCCTTACTGCTTTCCAAATATAGTGAATTTACACTTACCTGCCCTTGATTGATCATTACATATGCATGAGAGGTGGTGCTTACATTGTAAGAATGGGTCTAAAATAAGACTTGATAAATAATAATGAAGTTCATGATGTTTGAAAAAAAGAACGTGATCACTCTTTCCAATCTCCCTCTCCATTCTGTATGGCACAAATACACTTCTGACAAAGGTTTCAAAAGGAAATTAACAATATGAGCACGTCAAATGAATGTAATTAAAGCAGATTTTATATCAATGCCAGATAACTTAACGTGTTCGAACACAATGTCCTAGTTAGCACAAAACATGCTACCTTACAAGTCACGTGACGGAATTTAGTATTCACAAAGTTACCTGAGGTAAGAAATCACGTGGTGAATTATAATATTCAACATGCCACAATGCTTGGTTACAACACAGAGAGCGAATGTAAGAACAAGCAGTTTTTTTCTCTTTTTAACCATGAGCGCATGTTTGTCTATAAATCTCCTTTTGACACATTATTATTTATGCAAATATACAACTACTGTTAAACGTAGAACAATAGACAAACACTATGTATAGAATATGTATAAAGTCAGTTAAAAAGTTGGCGTCCTCATTATCGAACGGAGATTCAAGAAATAGTGATGGCCCCTGCCTTTGAAAACAGATTCGAACTTCGTAAATACATACTTTTATTAAACGTAATTGCATAAAGTTGTAGATTCGATGTTGACCATTCTTGCTATGAAAAGAAAAATGGTTGTTTTGAAACTTTATTTTGTCGCAATTTTCGCATGTCCTTAAGTGCAGTCATCCTTTTACTTACATTGCATTATTTACTCAATGTGATGTGATTACTTCATGTCAGAAAAAAAACTATATTCGTAATTAGTATTAAACTTGTTTGTTACGTATATGTATACATATTTGTTCTCATTCTTTACTGATTACATATAAATCACAAAAATTTAAGGTTAGGGATAGCGGAGAATAATAAATGATGGTAGCTATAATACTTGAAATTAATAAACGCATATCAGAAAGACAACTTTAACATAGATGATACAAATAACAGAATTTCAGAAACAGTCAACATTCATTCCTCCGTTGGACTACGATTTATCCACAACACGTCGAGGTGGTCCGCCGTTTCCAATTTTTAATTATTTCGATTCACAGGTGGTGAAAAATCAAGTCTCAAACGGGACTCGAACCCAGGGTCTCTGGCGTACCGTGCCAGCGTTCTAACCACTGAGCTACTGAGACCCGATATTTTGACTGACTTTCACGCACCTGTGAACCCGGTGACATATTTAAAAGATACAATCGGACTTGGTACTCAACTCTAACTAGTATTTAATTTAGCGACACTAAGAGTGTATTCGATTATGACAACCCGTGTCACACTAGTGTTCAATATGCGCATGCCCACTAGTTGAACTCTAGAAATCAAAATAAAACATTTCGTGTTGTACAGTATTTATTTAAATATGGC